CCTCCCCCCCTCTAAAATCAATTCTCTCCTGGAGAACGTCTTCGTGAGCCTCTCATGATTTCAGGATAGTTGAACCCTCTTGAACATTCAGAAAGAGTGAACATGAAATTCTAATCACGAAAGGTGTTCCCCGAGGGGATACATACCTAGAGTTTGTTTTGTGAAGCACGTCAATTCTCTCCTGGCGAGCGTCTTCGTGAGCCTCTTATGGTTTCAGGATAGTTCAAATCCTATGATGTTCCGATTCAATGCTCACCGATGATCTGAGCCATGGGGCAAGTTTGTTTTCCTAAGAATCTTTTTGAACATTTCGAGAGCATATGTTTGAACATTTAGAGTGCATATGAACATATATTTACGAAAGGTCGCCTCCGAGGGGATAAATCACCATGTCGAACATTGCATTTTTGTTCCTGCCTCTCGCGTTCTCTTCTCTTCCCGCTGTCCTACCTTTCGTGTCTCCCTCCTCTCAAGTGAATGATGGTGCGCAAATACGCAGGAACTAGTGGTCGCTTTTGCGGGAAAAGAAGCTGCTAATGTATGACCTGTGGGACATTGACTTTGGGAAATAAGCAGGGATCTTGAGAATGAGCTGCAAGCAGGTTTAGGAGCAATTGTATTGAGGGTTGGGAAGCGAAAGGGGTTGTGACTAGACAAGTTAGGCAACTAAAATGAGTTTGTTTGGACATAACCCAAAGTAAACGCCTCAAGCCATTAAGTCATTGAGCCATTTAGCCATTAAGTCATTAAGGCATGAAGCCGTTAAGCCCTTAAGTCATGAAGTCAATAAGCCCTTAAGCCATTAAGTAATTAAGCCCTTAAGTCATTAAGCCATTTAGCCATTATGTCATTAAGTCATTAAACCATTAAGTCATTAAGCCATTAAGTCATTAAGCCATTAAGCCATTAAGTATTTAAGTCATTAAGTCGTTAAGCCATTAAATCATCAATGCATTAAGTCATTGAAGTCATGAAGGCATTAAGTCATTACGCCCTTTTAAACCATTAAGTCATGAAGTCATTAAGGCATTAAGCCATTAAGTCTTTAAGTCATTAAGTCGTTAAGCCATTAAGTCATCAAGTCATTAAGTCATTGAAGTCATTAAGGCATTAAGTCCCTGAAGTCATTAAGTCATATTGAAGCCATTGAAGTCATTAAAGTCATTAGGTCATTAAGTCATTGAAGTCATTAAGTCATTCAGGCAGTAAGTCATTAAGTCACACATCCCCTTTTCATAAATCATTATGAATCATTTACAAGTCATTTTGAGTCACACATTGTTGTGAGTGGAGCCTCCAAAAGCATCCTGTTTCCCGCTATTTAGCTGCCTGTTTTGGAAGAGCACCTGTTTGTTCAACTTTGACAAATCCTGCAAGTTGCTTCACTCATGCCCATATTTGTTCGATCTTTTTGGTACAGGTGGTTACGTTGACAAAACCTCCCAGAAAACCTGCAAATCCTTAAACTTGTGCAAGAAGTGCCAAGCAGTTTGGCCAAAGGGGAGGTGCACCTGAAACCAGCATGGACAGGGAGCAAAACCAGCTTTGGGCCGTCAATGGTTTCAAATGAGCAGGCTGCCACAGGTCAGCAAAAATTGCGTCGAAAACACCGCCAACCGAGCAAATACACCCTTGCAACATTCTCACAAGTCCAAATCCGCCGGCGGATGGACAAGAGGTGCCTTTTTTGAGTCCGAGGCATATATATATATATATGTCGGCAATTTGGACCTTCTAGGTATGATTGGAGAGCGACTTGCTGCAACCTGGCTCCAAGGTTTTCAAAGTCAGCCTGTGCATTCATGGTATCGAATGTCACACCATCCTCACAATTCTGGTGCTGGTGCCTGTATGTTCAACACTCTTGATTAATTACCCCCATATGAAGAGGTGTTTCAAATGGGCAGGTTTGTTCATCAATAGCTTACATGACGATCGAACCAAAAACATCGGTACGATCACCGACGTCCTGCACTCAGGTACGGCCAGAACTGCGGGGAGTCCAACAGGGCGAGCCATGGAGTCAGAGGTGATGGGGTGAAGCACCGAGGGTCAAAGAAAACCCCAAGTAACTCAAACTCTTCAGGTGTGTGTTTCAACTGTTATGGATAGGTAATAATACCATATAATACCCCACTTGTTCAGGTGTGGTTCAACATATTTAGGTAATAATATACTACAGTATTTGCACTTGGTTTGTTGACCATGTTGACCTGCAGAGGAGTGTTTTCACTCGTAGGCTCGTAGGCATGTTTTCTTTTCACGCGTAGGCGTTGGCCCCCGTGTACTGATCCCTAGAAGCGGACTCTTCTACACTTGGAGCCAGCGGTGGTCAACGGGTTTAGGGACCAGATCGCTGTTGATGGAGAAGCGTTGAGCAAGTCGACGTTGAGCAAGTCGACGAGGGGAACCTCCAAACATCGTTAGTTTCTGGGGAAAACGGGTCCAACCCCACATCACTGGTGTAGGGGGTCTCAGATTCAGACACACATAATCATGTGATACTGATACTGCTACAACTATATACACATATATTACATTTCAGTTATACTATCAATATTGCAAATACAGTGATACAGATTGATTTACTTGTTTTCTCCAAACATGTTCTTGAACCACACGAATGTCCCATTGCTGCCGCTGGTCCAGTGGGCGCCGACCCGTCTTCCGCCCAGGCCGCTACCAACACGTCACGCCCTTGCGTTGGCGCTCGGGGTCTGCACCTTTGGTCAGCAACGGCAGCCACGTGCCCTTCGTGGAGGACAGGGTCAGTCAGCCTTGGTGGTCACCCTGGTCAGTCAGCAGAGTTGGATCCTCTTTCTGACCATCTTGCAATGAGTTTCAGGACTCACTGCAAGCAACCTTCACAAAAACGCCGGAACTAGCTCAAGTCCAAAGTCCACTTCCAGAACATGTCCGCTGGTCCAGTAGATATCCTTTTAGAATCCTTTGAGGCTGACTCTTCATTCTCGTAATAAAAAAATCGGAACGGACAGCTCAACCGCATTGGAAGGTCAGCATGCCTCCCACCTGCCGCCTGGACGCACGGCCGCACGGAGCTCCGCACGGCGCCAGGCGCTGGACACCACGAAGCTCTTCGCACTGCTGGACTCGGCGCCGTCGCCCACCGCGCGCCACGCCTTGCTCCAGACGGTAGCCTGTGTGCTTTACCAAGGCCCAGTGGCGTGGAGGGGCGAGCTTGGGCCGGGCAGGCGGTTGGGGCGTGGGGTGGCGGGGTGGGGAAGCTGGGAATGGCGGGTTTGAGGTTGTTTGGATGAAGGATGGGGGGTCGGAAGATTACTTTTGTGTGATGGTGTGATGTTTGGGAGTTTGAGAGCCCACGGTGTTTGGCGATGGCTTGGAGTTGTTGGGCGATTCTGGTAAGACAAACGAGAAGAGGATGAAGAGGAGCACGAGGAGTTTGGAATGGGCGATGTAACATACCCCATGGAAGACCAAGATGGACCCTGAAAACCACTGGTTGGTAGAGGAAAACCATCTTCCAGGGGGGTCAGACAGTCAGGGTCTATGTGAGTTTCGGGAGTGTAGGCCAAGGTGGGTAAAGCTGGGTCTTGGGAGGGAGGTTTCAGGGGAACTCGGTGAGATCTCTTTCAGTCACTTCCGTTTCGCCCTCCAAAAAGAGTCTCATGGCAAGTCTCAACACACCACACATGTCCCTTTTGACTTCCCAACTGACCAGCGGTTGCCCGGACGACCTGACCGTCCCACGTATCGTCCACGTGGACCGTGCACCACCGTGCAGGGGAAGTGGTTTGGTGCCGCCATGTGGGGCGTGCTGCGACACATCAGCTTCTTAGCTCAATTTGGGTTGGCCATGGTTGGCACCATATATTAGACCAAAGGAAATGGTCTGACACACTGGTGTTGCATGTTGCATTCTGTTGCGCGACATCGGCATATTTGGCCTGTGTTTTGTGATTGATCTGAACCCCTGGCCTGTGCTGCCTTTAGCTTGCCACGCAACGGTGGTCTCAGCAGTTTACAAGAGGATGGTCAATGGTCTGAATTCGTTTTTCAGACCACGTCCAACGGATTCCAACAGCCACATCCTGTCAGGATGTGCTCCACACATCCCCTCCAACCTTGGTCCACGCCCCGCCTTGCCCCGAACACGAGGCTTTGGGAGTCCTTTCTGTCTATGCACGGAGGCCCTTCGCTTTTCGCTCGACCGGTCTTCGCGGTGCGAAGACGAGCGCCGCTCACCGTCGGACCCGAGCCGTGAAAGGCACTGCAGGGGTCTTGCCTTGAGTGTGGCGAAGACCATGCCCAGCTGGATCGAGCCGTGAAAACTTCAGCAGCCTTGACGTTGCACAGGATCCACAGGGCTGCTGCTTCACGTAATTACCCGTAATTAGCGGAGTATGATGGATTGGATGGCGGTACTGAGCTATTGTTTATTTTTTACATGTTTAAACAAGGATTTCAGGTTCCAGCAATTCTGTGTCTCCATTCGAGACTCCTCCCACTCGACGACGACGTCACCAACCTCTTGGTGGCTACTGGAGATAAGTTCGGTGATAAGCGCGTAGTTTTCTGGATCTTTTTGCAGCTAGCCTATGCGATTCTACGTTTTCAGAGTGATGCATTACTCTTGACCCCTGTAAAGATTATAAAGCATCCATGTTTTTTTTGTCATTATAACCCTGGGCCTTCCAAGGAATATCCAATGGAGATCAATTTGTAGTGTAGGGTCTTCCATTGGTGACCCCCGTTTTTCAGGTGCTACACCCCCAGGGTTTGCAGAATCGGTCCCAGATGACTGCAACCCCACTGAGTGATGGTCGGATCCACGGGAAAATGCCTGAAATCGCCAAGGTGGCCGAGCGACGCTCCATCCGATGCCAATGTGGCCGATAATATCCGATAATTACATTTGATGGTTTTGGGTGGTGAATGTAGGCCCTATACTGATACTATTCATAAATCTATTTAATATGTATCCCCACCATTTCCATACATTTCATATATAGGTTTAGGCCCCATCCCACTTCCCACACAGCGGCGCGGAGCGTTTGGCTGGGCATGGAACTTCACGCAGCTCGAGGCACCTCCTCAGCTCGAGCGACACCCGGGACCACAGCTGCCGAGTTCATGATGGAATGGTTCCTCGGAGGAACACTTCCACAGGGGCAATTCTTGCGGAGGTGCAGCGGTGGCAGTTCCTTATGGGTTGCCACCTAACTTGGATTGGAATCAAGATGGTTCTGGTTTGTCCCTCCACTTCAACCTCCACCTGTTGATCCTTTTTGGGGGGGCAAAGAGTGGCAAGGGGCGGGGGGAGATCATGAGATATGTGTGTCGTATGGTTTGAAAGATCAAGAAGGAGATGTTTTGTCAGCAAGAAACAGAACACCTTTGATCAAGGGAGAACTCCTTTCAATAAAACTCTCACCACATGATTCCTATCTCAACCCAGGCCTACCCTGCCTTGGCTGCGTGACTGCGTGCGTCGGTGAACATCGCCTGAGGCCCGGAAACGTTTGGGAGCACGTGCTCCAACACTTGCAGGACCCCTGCGTCATCTCAGGACGGGTTTTGGGCAGCTTCCATGAGAGGCCAGGGAAGTCGAGGTTCAGAGTTGGGGGTTGTATTGGGTGGTTGAGTTGGCTGAACCATTCACTGGAAGAGGCTCTTTGATTCGGTGCGTCACCCACATTTGAGTGGCAGATACTCACCGGGCCGGCGTGCCAGTGCGCGGAGCGCCGGTGGAGAACCGTGGCCGACGGATTTGTTTTCTCTCCGCTTTTTTTTCCGTGTTATGTTTTTGTTTTTCTCTCTCTCTCTTTCTCTCGATATACATGGATGTTTCTCAATTAGCGGACCTCAAAGACCTTTGCAACTAAGATGATCAAGGCCATCAACCCCCCTGCCATGATTTCAATCACTTTAGGATTCTGTTTGGTGACATCCACTCCTTGGAATGATTTTTGTGGGGGAGGGGAGTGGGGTGACTCTTTCTATTGCACCCCCTATTATATATCGTCCCAACCTGGCCATGTTATACAACATGTGGTGCTTGCGCCGCTTTCCATCCAGGAACTGCTGTGGCAATGCTGTCCAGCTCTCGCAGCATGTGGAAGAGCAGCCTCGGCGAGAAGAAACTTTGGCAAATGCCACTCGGCCATTGCTGCAGCAGTGGGAACAATCGGGGTCTGACCATTTTCCTAGGATGACCTTTTCCCTGTTTAACAGGTGCTGTTCCAGTTGCATGATTATTTCTGTCATGAGCGCAGTTCGTTTCTCCGTCATGCTTGCTTCGCACTGTTTCTGCGGCCGTGGCCTCACACCTCCTTAAGTGGCCAACCCTTGGGGATGTGAATGGGAAAACAAAGAATGCAAAACAGATGAAAACACAAAACATTTCCCGAAAACTAGCATGGACTCTGCAGAATCCTGGTCTCGGCTGCTCATCATGGCACTATAAAACACTTTCAGTTGTCATCATGAACCAACACTACAGAATTGAGTGAGTTATACAACTATGTATAATCATTATCATATATAATCTATTCTGGCCATTTGCAGGAGGGTCTTACACACAAAGAAGCTTGATTGTCCTGAACTTTCTGAGTGAATGTGACGGGTTCTCAGAATTCTAATGTTGTGTGGTTGGATTGAGGATGGGTAGATGGGTATTAATGTCACTATATGTCACTTATTCTTAATGGGGACTATACTGTACTTGATTTTGGCAGATCATCATCGGACCACGGGCTGAGAGAGATCTCCCCATTAAAGTACACCCATGTGTGCTATTTTTCCCTATGTGGGTTGTGGGGGTAATAATTTCTGCGAAGACTGTGGTGAAACTGTGAAACAGTGATTTTTTGCAAATGGACTACTTACTATACTTGACTATACATAGCAACCCTCTACCCTACAGGGTTGGGGGGGGTGAACTTATAATTAAGCTCTCACAGGCATGATGATCATCCAGGGCCCATGCAACCTGTGCCAAACAAGATCCACCAAGTTCTTCAGCCTCCAATGTAACCAAGATTGTCCAAGTACTTCCATGTCGTATCCACTTCGAACTCATGAACCTGGAGGGTCATGGGTCATGGGGCCTCAGCTCTAGCCGATCGATGGTGGAACATGTTGGAACTCGGTGTTCCGGACACCGGTCGACCTGCGCAAGCTCCTGCTTGCTCCTGGCATCGTGTGCGACCGGTGTCCCCACCGTGTCCGTCGTTGTGCTGACGCCGAAGCTGGACTCGCTCAGGCTTGCGAAGAGCGAATGGACTGAATGGCCCAGCCTGGCCAAGGTTCGCCATGATGATGAGGTCCGCCAGCTAGCTTCTTTTACCATGTCAGACACGGAGTCGACCGTGGGGAGGATGGTCCAGAAGGCTGTAAACATGTGCCAGAAGGGTGTACTCAGTCACTACTTGGGATGAAACTTTACCTCATGGTCATGACTCATGACCCTTTGAAGGATCCGATCAAAGGCTCAGCATCCGTTGACTTCCTGTCACCCTGAGAGGGTGATGTACTCATCGTGTTGTTTTCGCCAGGACCCTTTGAAGGAGTTTACCTCACTGGCCCAGCAGCTACAGCTCTATCGCTTGTGCTGGGCGGCACCTTGGTCGCAAAGAACATTTCACCCAACCACCGCTTGGCCGGGGCTCTTCTAGCGCCAATTGGGTATTCTAGCGCTCCAAGTACCTTCGTTTCAATTGCATTGAAGGGTCACTGGTGGGTCCAGTCATAGCTTCAGTACTCGGAGCGTACTCGACTCCCTGACATCAATCTCGGCCGTGGCACTCCGTGGCACTTCGTGGGTGGCATAAGCACGGTTCGACTCGGAGGACCATGGTTCAAACACCCAAGAGGTGAGTATTCGGTCCAACCAGTTCCAGGGACTGTCGCCCGGTCCAACCTGGTGACCATCACCCGATCCACGGAGTCCACAGCCCCCTCCCGGTCGCTCGGTGACCTGGGACCTGGGTACGGAAAAGAACGGAGCGGAACGGAGCGGCACAGCGTCCTGAGACCGAATGGCTGCGGGCGAGAACGTTCTGCACTGGTCAGATGGAATCCGTGAAAGGATCGGTGGGGTCGGGCAGGGTTAGTGGGGTTAGGCACCTGTTGTCAATCTTCAAGTATCGGTGAATCAGCAGGTTTGTGTGTTACATGTCAATGATTTAGGTATAAAGATTAGGGAAGAACGCTATCTCCGCGGTGTTAATGAGGAGACAAGACATGAATAAACCTCACAAAACGATTACGTTTCTTGCAGTGTCTTCATATCCTAATACCATTTCTCTTTCCGACCACTCTCCTGTTTGCCTTCTTTGCCTCCTCCCAGTTACATATTGGAACCATGCACTCAGCACGTTCCCTCGCACACCAAGGCAACTCAAAGCTGCCCGGGCAAGTTCGCCACTCCGAAGCAGGGGCCGTACCCCTCGCCGGAGGCGCAGGTTTCTTGAGATGGCAGCCCCATCATGTGTGTGTGTGTCCAATTCGGAGTGAAAACTTCCATGGTTTGGTGCAGTTGCTGTAAAATAATCCCCCAAGAGCTTTTTCCATTAAAATGGAAGTTTTACGCATCGGGAGTCTACAAGTCTTTGGTGTCACTGGTTTGGACCAAGTGTTGAACTTCTTGACTCAACCTAGGCCGAGTGTTTGGGAAGTGAAGGAAGCCACAAAAAGTTATGGGAACTGAGTGAAAAATATCACACTCGTGGTGTTTGTCCGGACATATCAATAGCCATAGACTCATAGGCATACAGGATCATCGATGCATGATGCAACCTTTCTATTGCACTCAGTTTGCCTATAACCCAGTTGATAATATGTTTAGACATGTTTCGACTGTTTATAGAAGTAAGGACAGATTTTGAGTGCTTGCTACTGCTTGCCACACCTTCGGTCACTCAGCTTCGGGGTCCGTGCTACTTATGGCTCGCACGGACGTGTGTGTGTGTGTCCCGGAGCCATCCTCGTCCGTTTCCGGTTCGGGACGGCCAAAGGCGGCGGAGATGCCTGGATCTCCAAAGTGTGAAACCAGGCGTGACCGATCAGCTGTGCCCGGATTCTGATGTTCTGGGACACATCTCAACAACGACCCCAGGTTTAACCGGTGAAGTCGTTTGGCTACAATGGCACAAAGAGAGTGGGAAAGAACCTGGGGACCACAAATGTTTGCCTTTGGAAGTGGGGGCCAGGATTGCAGCACTGAACAGAAAGTAAAGAAGTTAGCAGGATTACAGACTTTGATAACAATGTTGCACTATTGCACGAGAAGTATGTTGTCCAGACTGGAGAAGTGTCAGTGTTCTGTTGGGTCGGTTTTTGCCGGCGGCCCCGGTAAACGAAGACCTTTTGGCTTCAAGGCAAACGATGTGATTCGCCACTTGCGGCTTTTCCTGAAAGCCCAGTCTCAGATGGCTTTGACATTGAAGTACAGGAACAGCTTCATTGATGCAGAGGATGAGATTCCCACAAAACCAGCCACTCTTGAGCGACGAGCCAGAAGTTTGCCACCCAGGATGTCAAAGATGGTCCAGGTTGAGGAATTCTTGCAGGAAGAGGAGCCGATTTCAGCCCATGGTACAATCAGAGTTAGGAAATCACAGTTTTTTTGGAAGATCGACATGGCGAATCCTCAGAGCCAGAGCTTGCCAGCTTCTTCATGTCGCTGCGTTGAACCAACCAGTTCAATCCAGTTTAGTCTATAAAGGCTCTTGGGCCTTCGCCCCCGACCAGTGAAACAGTTCATAAAAGCTGCATCAAAATGCAAAGCGGAGTTTCTAAGGGGTGGCTATAAGACCCGACCCGAGATGACTCTTGCAATTCAGCACCCTGGAATGTGTATGTGCTTCTTCATTATCTCTCCTACCCAACGTAGGAGAGCTTGCAAACCTATCTGCAGCTCTAGAACCTCTCCAAGTCTGATCGGGAGACCGCTCTTCTGGACTCGCTCCCAGTGGACCGGAGCGAGTGAACCACTCAGAGATGGCGAGGAGGATTAGCGGACACCCGGAGCTTTGCAGGCCCTGCATCTTCTTGATGGCAGGAGGGATCCAAAGCATTTCGGGAACCGGACCCAGTGACTCGCGACCGGCCGAAGCCCCTATTCGGGGTCGCCCTGGGCGGTGGAGAACTGAACCAATCGAGGTCCACACGAAACGTGTTCTCCGATGTGTCCTGGAAGCCGATGGTTTTCCTGTTCCCATCCAGCCATCCAGCTTCCTGATGTCCAGCTCTCTACTACCCAGTGATATCCATATCCCAGTGGATTCCAATCTCACTCTGTTCTGGAAGAGTCCGTTGGCTCGATCGACCTACTATAGTCATCTACTGTATAGTCTAATGCAGTTTTTAAATAGATGTAAAACCATTTTGGAGACGAGAGATTTGATTCATCAACTGTCAACATTTGTGGTAACTGGATTCAGTGTTGTGCATGTTTTTTGGAAGGATGGTTCCTAGGCACCAGAGGGCCAAGAGGCCTCAGACCCCGTCAAGACCCTGGTCACAAAGGAGCACTTGGCCCCCAAAGTGAATCTTTAGTAATTTGTTGGTTGATGTAGTATGATTCATGTAGTGAAAGTTAACATAGCAACGTCAACCTGTTGTTTTTTTCTAACCGACATTGAGGGGTCAGGTTCCTGATGCTATGACCCGGACTCACACAGTAGACAAATTTGACAGATATGTCTTCACATGGTTTGGGTAAAAGAAAAAACAATGTTCTCCTCCGTGACAGAACAAAATCGCGGATGTTTGCAATCAATATAGCTGACTTCTGGGGTGCTTTCTCTTCCTTCCCTTTCCCATGAGGAAACTGCAAGAGCGGCGCTGATTGTCCTTATTGCCACCTTACACACAAGAAGATGGTGAAGCCCGACAAGAGGCAGAGAAGCTTCATGCAGTCCTTATCCCACCCCGGTTTCTTCGGCCTGATCTCTGACTTTTGCCATGAACGAGCGGCGCTTCTCAACCTCCTCCCTGGCGCTGGCGACGTCTTGAAGACCTTGCGCGCGGAGGCGGGAGCGGTGGAGAGGAGTGAAAAACCACCCTATCGCCATGCGCGTTCACCACCTGAGCGTTCACGGTGAGGTGGAGTGAATGAATTCACCACCTGTTTTGGGTCTTCGGAAGTCTTCGGAAAGCGCTCCGGACTCCGGGCGCCGGGCCGGGCCGCCATCTATTCAGGTTGGCAGAAGATGGTTTCAGGGAGCAGAACTCATTTGAGCTAATTATATTTATATATATATATATTATTAATAAGTCATGTAGGAACCGCTAATCCTAATTCACTGGTAGCGACAAGTCCTATATCACCGGTACCCTATATATATATTCTAAATGTTGTCCAGCCTGTTTTGGCCGTTCAGCGACCTTTGGTTCATTCTTTCAGCCGCCGCCTGGAAGTAGGGACAGGACACGGGGACGGACGCGGAAGTGGCAAAAGTTCCGAGTTCTCTTGGACTCGGAATCGCAAGTGGTGACTCTTGGGCCAGCTCTTGTTGGTGTGTGTGTTTTTAATACATATGGTTCGAAATCACCTTTCTTCAAGGGAGTGAGGTTTTTCGTTTGGCCTCGGCGGACAGGCCGCCTCAGCGAACCCGGTGAACGTTTCCCGGCGCCTCGGCCGAGCGTGGAACATCGGGGGCGATCGATCTCCGAGGGGAAAACGCGGTACCGAAGCCAGTGGAGATCGCGGTACGAGAAGCCGCGAGAAAGAAGGTCGTGAGGATCTGTATGGATCTGTATCGAATATGTTTTTTTCCCTGTGACTTATGATATTATGAGATGTTATTGAGCATTCTTTAGACAGATGATGTTGATGATGTTCCAATGCCTTGGAGAAGCCAACCTTTGTTCATGCAAAGTACCTATGGGGGTAACTACATCATGATGTAGGTTGGTCATGACTCTTACAGTATGTGTGTTGCATTCTAAGACACCGGCGCTGTTTTCGTTCAACATACGTTTCTCCATCCATCCATCGACTGGATGTACCATCCGGGATGGTCCAAAGAGGTTCATCCACGACGGGCCGACGGACCATCTGGACCTGACCGGGGTGACCTGGGGTGAGTGCTGAACGAGCTGCTGGGAGCAGCCAAGGGAACGCACGGAGTCGGAGGGAGTCGGCCGATGTGGAATCCGAAAACGCCTCGGCACGGAGTCGCAACGGCGAGTCGCGCAGTCGGACTGTGAGAGATGACCGATTTCTGGAACAAGTCCGAAGTGCAAAGACTACTTGGCACCGAAGTTCCTAGACTGGAGTCACCACCTCACACACCGCAGGTTTGCAGGTTTGGTTTTCAGGCTCATCCGCCATTTTTCTGGTTCCTCACACGTCCTGGGCCGTTTCAAGAGTTTGGACATCAAGGCCGGTGAGTGAAGGACCCAAGGAAGGCCCAATTTCTGCGACCTACTGGGGATGAGGGAACCAACTGGATTCTTTCTGTTCGTTCCCTACCTCAAACACTCCATGGGGCTGCCATAGTGGCTGCCTACATTGACCCCCCAGCAACTATGGCAGTGCCATGGAGTGTTTCACGGTTTATCGTATTCCGTCGAATTTCTGGGACTCCGATTTCGCGGATGGATTTGCAAAAGCCTCCGAGGCCCAGATGATCTCTCGCATCTCATCACCCTTGCTCTATAGACCGCCTTTCCAGTGTAGAGGGCGGGCGCACACAGCAGAAATCCAGCGTCCAGGTTGAGAGAGGCATTCGTGGCCTGGTGGAGAGTCTTATTTTGTTTAACATTGAATTGTTTAATTGTTTATATATAAATTATACAATATTCCCACAAGCAAGGGGAATGATTCTATTCAGAAACAGAGTTTGATGACATTGTTCATGAAAAGGTGCCAAGCGTATTGTCCCCTCGCCCAATGTGACCAGCCGAGGATGAGTTGCGGGCATGGGAACGCGAACGCGAGAGAGTTCCTGACAAATGCTTGATCATGATCTGACTCTGGGGAGTTATGAGCCGTTTTTAGTTCAGTCAAAGGGTCGCCTCAAAGGGGCTGTTGAAACGCTTTTCGGGCGAGCGGAAGGGTTCAGCAAAAGCCCTGTTCCGGAAATCTTTCCATGGTGTTTGCAGAACTTGTTTGTGCACATGTTAGTTTTGGGTGGCACGTGTACTCGTCACTCGCTTATTGAAACATCCAGGGGTTCCACAGGGGTTTCAGCGCCAAAAGACCGCGGAGTTCATAAGCGGTTGGGGCTCGAATCTTCGCATCCTTTTGCTGAAGCCGCACCAACAAACCGCTGAAGCCGCTGATTCAAACATGCAGAAACCAAGCAACCTGGTACAGTCGACTGCCCACCACGAAATCCTGGAGGATTCATGGGTGGATTAGGTCGTCCCAGGTGGTAGGACTTTAAGAGTGAAAAGAGTCGTCTCTCATCTCTGTGCTCCAAGAGAGCATGCCAAGGTGCAGCTTAGGGATGCAGAGTAGATCAGAAGAGATGGACCAAAAAGCAGCTGGTCGGAAGCGGTCTCGCCAGTGCGTGCAGTGTGATGGATGCAGGTGTGTTGGTGAGGTATGCTTTTCAATCTTTAGAAGCCCTTTAATTATAGCCTGCATCAAACATGAGAGGTTGGCCTTCCTGCATGTTGTAGCGCAAATGACATCAAGGTTCAAGGTGGTAGATTGGACATGTGCACATTGATTTGCAAGTGTCATCTATGTTGTTGCCACTGCGACTGCACATATCGCACACAGCAACATTCACATCCAGAGAGTCATCCACAGGTTTTTGCCAAGGCTTCGCATTGGCTCGCTACAGGTTTCCACCGAGAAACATGTGCCACCAATCGACGCTGAAATACCCTCCGTGATCGTACAGCAAATTCGAAGAAGACGCTCGCGAAGGGGGCAAAACATGTTCTTCATGTTCTTCGCACACCACATACAGAGACAGACACAGTGATTACTAGTAATCGTATAGATAACTTGAACATGCGAAGGCAAGGTAATTACCCAGAACAGTTTCAAGGCAAGTGTTCGAGGAATTATCATAGCCTGCAATGAACAACAGAAACATGACGCTCTTCTGATTGGAAATGGGTTGTGGGGCCAACGCCAGGATTAACTTGACATATTATGACATGTCTTAAACCCCGGTACCGACCAGAATCGGAGCAGGTGTCATATGAGGGGCGCGACCGTCATGTCCAAACCGCTCGGCACGGAGCGCTCGGCATGGCGGTCGGAGGGGGTCGTTCAAACGGTGATGAAAGGCACCCCATACGCGGAGCGCCTGGCAAAGTGGAAGCTGGTGGCCGCACAAATCGGATTAATTTAACACAGGATATTTTTATATATCTCATCATGTGTTGCAACGTTTTGTTTGTGTTATTTTTTTTCGGAATCTAGACTCTAGGTTTGAAAACCCACCGAAAGTAGAGTGAACATGTCTTATTTAAAACGTCTCAACACAATTACCAGCCGTACAGACAAACTTGAGTTACAATTCTGAGCTGAGAAGGGCTTTCGTCCCATTCCTCACCCCAACTTGCAGCCTTCTACTTCTACCCTTCTCTTTTCCCCGCTTCACCACCCCCCATCCTGCCAAATCCCTTGCACCCGCCCTCCGCAGCCATAAACGAAGTGGGGCCTTTTTCCGGTGAAGGGCTCGTTCCGCTGAGCGGTTCCTGCGGTTCCGCCGAGCTGCGCTGGGCGCTTCCGCTCTCCAGGCGCCTGGGACGAGGCACGCTGCACCTGGAGCTGGGCTTCGAGGTCACGGCGCTCCGTGCCGACGCGAAGCTCCTCGTGGCGGCCTCACGGCGCTCCAACGAGGCCGGACAGCCGCTGGAGACGAGACGAGACGAGACGGAGGCAGCCGCTTTGGGCCTTTTTGGGCCGTGGTGTCTTTGAGTTCCTACACGAGATGAAGAGATCTGAAGCATTCTGAAGCATTCTGAATGTGTTGTTTTCTTTTTCGTATTTTTTTAATGTGATAGTATGTGATTTGTTAGTTCTTCCCCTTAATCCTCATGTAAGAGATTACCAGATATGGCCATATAGTCGAATACATTGCGGCGCCGGACCTGAGTATCCAGTGCTTCGACAGCAGACCTGACCTGCTTCTTCATACGAATTTCATACCTTCAAGAAACTGAGTATTGAAGACATTTGGCAGTCCATTGCATCTTGGGAAACGGGACTCCACCAGTGCATTCTTTACGGTCACGGGTTGTCACTGCTGGTTTCCAATCACGACCCAAGTAGCTGCCCCACCCGGTGTGATGTGGGGTCACCCAAGGGGGGTTGGTTGAATACCGTTTGAAGTGAACCCCCTCAAACAGTCTATGCACCTTGGTCTTAGGATGACATCAAGTTTTGCTATCGTTTAAACGCCTCAAGACATTTAGGCAAGGACAGCAACTTGATCAACTTGGGAATTGGGGAAGAGGCCATGCTTTGGGAAGGCGCTGTTTTGGCATGTTTTAGCACCCTGAGTTGTTCTAGTCTCAGCACACACACAAGATCCCCCCTCCTCGAAAATGGAGGATCGAGGGGGGTGTACCTTTAGGAATTCCATTTTAATATTCCATTTACACAGCCAACATGTTTCCAGTTTTATCTCCGCGTGGCCCCGAGAAATTTTGACAAGCGACGCGGTTGAATGGGAAAGAGGCTTCAGCAAGCTCACTGAATACAAGTCTGAGCATGGAGATGCCAGGGTGCCCACCAGATTCAAGACTTTTGATGGCTTTCCGCTTGGGCAGTAGATTAAGACACAGGGAAAGAAAAAAAAAGTGCCAAGATCGTGTGAACCGCCTGAATTCACTTGACCATGCTGGCATGATTGAATATGATGGTCTTGCTTTGAATGTAGCCAAAAATCAAGAAAAACAAGGAGCATCGCTTACGCCCCGCGGGCGTAAGCAACGCGACCTTTTGGACGGCAACGCGGTCCCACTGCTCGGAGCTCCCTGAGGGTCCGCATCGCTTACGCCCCGCGGGCGTAAGCAACGCGTCCATGCAGTGTATTAGGCAACGCGTCCACGCAATGTAAATCAAGGTCTGTTTCTTTGATTTAACGCTCGATGTAACAAGATATACAACCCAACGCTCGCTTGTTTTGCACTTCGAAATACCAGATACCTGGACCCCTACGCAATGCTTTTTTTGTTCTCGACCAGAAACAGGACGCAGCCCAAAAGAGACCAAAAAGATGACGCCAAAAGATCAAAAACACAACCCAAACGATGCAAAATATGATGCAGAAAGTGCAAAACAGGTTGGGTAAGTGCAGGCTGGTGCTATGGACGACACTGAATATCACTGGATCTAGACCGTTGCTAATGCATCATCACGGTCAAAAATGGATAATCAATTTTCTGTTGGGGGTCCGACCCCCCCACCCCCTGGGGTAGCAGGGATCACACAAGAATGCCTTGAAGCCAAAGGAGCTTGGTCAAAGCATGTCAACACCCAAAAAACTATGTGCTTTACTCCCCAACCATCGCTGGGAAACAAAAACACAGCAAACACCCGGGTTTCAAGCTTGCAGACTTTCCAACTTTCTCTGTTTGGCACAAGATCTGTCCAATAAGGGGTCATGTCATGGCGGTCGTGTTTTTTGATACATATTCTCCAGCATGTCTATGTTCAACGTGATTTGTGCAGGGTCTTTGGAGCAACTCAAGTCAAAACAACTCACTCTTTTGCCAGGTCAGGCTGTTTCAGTTGCTTGGAGAACAAGTTTGAGAGATCAAGCACAGGGTTTGGGTGTTATGGGTGAGACAAATCCATGCACACGTCGCAGGTTCCTGGTTTGGACACAGGTCCGGTCGCGTCAAGAAAAAATTGCGTTTCTTCAGTCCTTGAGATGAACTTTGCGAACTTTGTGAGGTTTCTTTCAAGTCTTGGGTTTCGGGCACTTTTTCAGCGTTTTCAGGTCAGTGTCAGGTCACTGAGCTTAAGATACGTACTCCTAGAAGAGGGGTCAGGAACTGAGGAACCAGGGGGGTATCTGAATCCAACAGAGGTTGAAGGATCCTATAGACTATCCCGTAGGTATCCCTATGCCATCAGGTCACTTAAATTACCTCTCTTAGATGGTGAAAGGACATATGGTTTCCGGGTGTTTCATGAAGGGATAATTTTTCTTGACTTCCCGATCACAGCAGATCATAGCAGATCCGTTGGTCCTTTGAAAGAGAATCTGTGAAAGGGGGCGGCTTCAGCAAAACCCGTTGGTGTACAACATTGGTAACCCGTGATGGACAGTGTTTCACTCACACTGTGAAGAATGCGGATGTATTCATGAAGCATGCATTTTGCTGTACGTATATACATCTAATTATGTAAAAAATCATGTATCTCTATATCAAAGACAACCACATGGTGCACAGTCCTGCCCTGTCCCCTCGTTCTCATCCTCAAGCATGTGGCTGCCCCGTCCCGTCTCAGGACGCGGGGCTTGGGACGTTTGCCCACGTTGCGCCTGGAGCGACGTGTGGACGCCTTGGATGCCGTGCCAGAGAATGACGCCTTGGTGGCAGGTGCGGGCCGTTGCGGGGGACCGTAGTTTCCCAACCCGCACGTCAGACGAGAGTGCGAGATGGCTCAAAAATGCGAGCTGTATGTTGAAGACTTTGTGAAACAAAGGTTTCCAGACACTCCATGGGACTGGCATATTTACATGCATTCGGGTGGTTGAAGAGGGGTCAATGTAGGCATATACCATACATGAAGTGTTTGGTGTTGTTGTCGTGTTAAAACAGCGAGAAAAAACGTTTCAAGCGCATGTTCCCACTGATTGCAAAGCACGATCTTTGCATCTTCTTTCTTCTGAACTTGTTCTGAACTTCACGCCGTGGTGTTTGTTCTCTTTCTTCGCCAGGCAGTGTGGATGGACAAGTGTCCATCCATACGGTGAGCGATCCAAAGACTTGGCACCGGCTGACACGGTACAAAGCGACGACCCGCGACACGGCGAACGATGACGGTTTTTCGCCGAGAAGGTGACGGATGATCTCGATGTGTAGACCTCTGCGATTCATCAAATCCATTCAAATCCCTTATTTGGATTGAAAAGCATTGAAAAACCATGAAGTAACCTAATTGATTCATATATGTGTATAGGACCTTCAAAGTGACCTTTTGAGATCTCAGAATGAGGTCACTTAGACCCTAAAGAGGCCACTTAGAGACTCCAAAGAGGTCACTTTGAAGGTCCTCGTATATATATATATATACACATGCACACACATGTTGCTTTTTGCACATATATTGAGTCTGTCCAATTACCTGCAAGTAAACACTTATCACTATAGTTTAGAGAAAGGCCTTTACCAACCATCATCATCCACTGTTACTGGTAATAGGATAGACCCCCCCCAAAATATATAAATACAATATATATATATATACAGTATATATCATTATATATCTAATATGAATTATGGAGTTGTACTTTTTTGACAGCCTGCAGTACATGAAGCGCAGCGTTAGTGGGGTTGAAGAGTTCAAGATTGTCTTCCGTCCAGCAGCGATCGACGCCAACAAAGAAACGGGGTTTTGACGTCTTGCGGTCGTCGTTGGAGGGACAGTAGTTGGAAGATGTGCTGCAATCTTTGTTACATGACTACATGATGTCCGTCCGTGTTCGAGCTATAGGCAATTGATGTATCCAGGATGTCTCAGCCTATCCAGTGACGATCTTTTAGTGGCCATGTGGCTTTCTAAGGCCCGTGTGGGCCCCACAGATGTAAAAAACAATTGAATGTTTTGACATCTTTGGTGTGTGATAGTCGGCAGGCTTATGTATGAATCCCGGAGTCAGTTGTTCATGTCCTCAATGAAAACCAACCAATGTGTGCGTTTAAGAACAGAAGAGTCACCGTGCCGGCTGCCGGCTAGAGCAAACGGTGCCTTCAGAGCTTGGCCAACCGTTCGTCTCTGGTGTCCCAACATCCGCTTTCTTGAAGAAGTCATGCACCGCACGTTGTTCCAAACACTGGGACCCACTGTGGGTGTTCCAAACTCTGGGACCCACTTCCAAACTCTGGGACCCAGTACATGATTCGTGGGTGATGGTGAAGAAGCATCCGGAAGGCACTGCGTGTGACGCCAGCGGCTCGAACATCGCCTGGCTTGGGGAAATCGTCGGAACGCGGAGCCACAGAGGATTTCTCACGTGCCCAGGTGACGCCAGCGGCTCGCCACTCTTCGCAGGATTGCATTTCCTTCCCGGCTCAGGCCGAGCACGGCCTGGTATGGGAGGGGTATTTGAGGCCAAAACCGCTCGAAGACGATGGAAAGGGAATGCGGTGAAGGCAGGAGGTGTGATTTACCTGATGCATCAGATGCGGTACTATAATGTACTATATACAATGAAGAACGATGAATAACGAGTTAATGTTTTTGTTGCATTGGTGTGGACTTGCTTTACAACTCTCACTGTGGGTGTACATCAACGGTCCGCTGCGAGGTGGCACCTTGGTGCTTGCAGCTGCGCGGAGTCAGAACTGCGCACAGCTCTGGGACGTGGTTCGGATCTCAGCGCTCTGAAGTGGATTTTTTTCACGACGTTTCCAGGGCTCTGGATGGGATGCTTTTAGGGGCCCTAGAGGAAGTGGTGTGATATGGTGTGATGTTGTGTGGTTCCATGGGCCAAGGAAGAAAATAGACACTGAATGCAGTAATTATATAGGCCTTTGTTCTGCAGATTTCTTCGGCTGTGCGTGCAAACGAGAGGGAGTCTGTCTTCGGCGCACAGCTCCCGACTATGATCTTTCAACAGCTTTTAACTGTAACTGTATTAACATTTATTAACCAGTCCACTTTGCCATTTGGCATGGTGAAGCTTAGCTGGAGGAGGCTCTTCTTTCCTCGTGCGCATTGAGGCCACGCAGTCCATGGTCGTGGAGAGTGAGTCGATGGGCACCACACTCACGGCCTGTGAGCTCATGGAGCAACAGGCCAGTTCGGATGCCGTTTGAGGGAGGAAATCCAGAGGGAAGGTGGTCTTTTGCACTCCTCAAAGCTGCAACATGTGAAGAAGCTGGTCTTGACCCCACTGGTTAGACGATCCCAAGGACCCTGAACACCAAGGAATCGGCGCAGCGTTCGAGGAAAACAGAACAGTCAGTCTTTCAGGGTGCCATTCGACCCGGGTTCCATATGAATGACATCAGGAGTGTACTACATGCAAGAAGGACTCGTCCGCGTGTTGAAACGCGGTGTCTCCAGGCCTTGGTGGTGAACGTGCCTTGTCGGTTGATGTGAAGAAGGGGTGGGATGACCCTAGGATCATAGTTTGCTTGGAAGGTGATGGAAGGTCGCTATTGAGGAAGAAGACCCTTCTTCTGCCAGAGGTTGCCCCGGTCGGGTGATTGAGCGAATCCCCATCTGAACCCTGTGCCTGCTCGGAGGCACTGAGTCACTGGTGAGATGAGTGGAATTTCATGTGAAAGAGTGCAAGAACACACCTGTTGTGTGGCTCATGTCCATGAGGCCTTGTGCTGCACCTTCTTGTGAACTTACAGACATGGGCCTTTGTTCATTTGGAAAGTACTTTGTTTTGTGGGAGGTCCGTAAGCCTGAACAAAACAGATCCTGAAAGATCCAGCAGAGCATTGCCACAGAACAGACCAGGACATGTTCAAGGGCTGCCCAAGGGGTTTAGCCCACAAGTCTTGTAGGCGAGTTCCTTTTTTGTGGTCGATTAGAGACCCCAAACGGATGGTCCATGTATGTGTGCGATCATCTTCCCTGGGGGCTTCAAATACCAGTCCAGAAGGTACTTGGACCTTCCAAACCTATCTCATATACCTTCAAAGCGAAGGCATTTGGAGGTCTAGTCTAGGGCTTGTGTTTGTTCTCTTCTCAGGTTGACTGCAACAACCCTTGTGAGAAGAGCTGTGTTCCTTGCCAGACTCGTTTGTGACGCCCAGCCACGTCAACAAGCAATCAACAATCACCAATGCCGCCATTTGTCTTGATGCAAGGACAGAATAGGACACAGGTTATTGTTTTGCATTTCAAAGAACGTCTTAGTAGGAGCCAACATTTGTGGATTGATCATTTGATCATATTTGATCAAGTTGACGCCTCGAGTGATTCTTGTCAACATCCCAAACAACTGTGCAGGGCGATGGACTGGTCTTGTTGCTAAGAAAGCAGGATGTCACTGGAGTGTGTTTGTTCATATGCCTGGCAGCCGAAAGAGCAGAGCTTTGAATCCGGCAGAGGGGGTAGAAGCTAACAGCAGCAGGTAGAGGCTTTTTGACTCCAGTTTTCTAGTGGATCTGGACATGTCATCAGATGAACTGGGCCAACCTTGGCACTAGGGTCAGCTGAACTCCAGGCAGAGTGATTGTTGATAGCCATGGCAATGAGAATCTCAGCACTGCAGGTCAATGGCGAAGCAATCAATTTTGAAGCAACGCCAGAGATGACGGGCAGAGAGCTAAAGCAGAAGATCAAGGAAGTTCAGCTGTCCGACGAATTGACTCGCCGGACGACTGGGGTAGAGATTGTGGTCGGTGATCGGCTGCTGGGCAATGATGAAAAGTTGGCAAAAGCAGGGTTTGCCGCAGATACAGTTGTATATGTTGTGTTAAAAACAAACTGTGTAAGATGCTCCAACAAACGAGAAATCGCCAGCCTTTCGAGTGACATTGACCCTGAACTGTTGCTCGTGGTTGAAATCCCTGAAGATGACATTGACATTTCAGAAGGTGCGTTTGCTTACTGCAGAGAATTGACCAAATTGACCATCTCGAACTCCGTGACCCACATTGGGGGCAATGCTTTTCGTTGTTGCGCTTCTTTGGTGAACTTGACCATCTCGAACTCCGTGACCCACATTGGGAATCATGCCTTTCAGAGATGCAGCTCTTTGGTAAACTTGACCATCCCGAACTCCGTGACCCACAT